GGGAGGAAAGCGGTTCATGGCGCTAGCCAAGCCCAGCTGTCCAACAGGTAGAGACTCTGCCTCCATGTTGCCTGCGGTTAGACGCGGTGCGGCGCCCGAGAAGAAGTGGGCATGTGAAGGCAGCCGGGTTCAGCGGTTCCATTCCAAACGAACGAAGAACAGAATGCAAAGCGCCCCCCCCCGAAGAAAGTTGGCCTGAAAGCGGGAGGTGAGAAAGCAGAGATATTTCTTCCCCATCAGGTGTGCCGGTTGAGGGTCTCAGCCTCCCTTCCTCTTAACTTCAGAATCCGCAGCAGCCTCTCTTTAAAGGCTTTTCCCCTTTCGTTTGACCCTCTTCTTTTTCTTGCTCAAAACTTCCAGGAATCGCCTCCTTCCTATTTCTCACCCTCAACCCACAAAAGTAGAAAGATCTCCCCATTGTTTCTTTCTTGCCCAGCAGGCTCCAATGATCCTTGAGTGGCCACTTCTCCTGGGCCTTGTTCCAGGAGCCACCAAGAACACCAGACTGCTGATTCCCCCCTCCCCACATCTTGCTTCTGCCCTTGGGCCAGGTTCTCCTGGAACCCGGCCCTCTCCCTCCCTCCCTCCCTCGGCCTTCTTTTCTTTTCACTAAACATGCCTGGTTCTGGATCTCTGAGGATTTAGCCAATTATTCCCCTGATCTGTCATCGGTAGTTCCACATTCTCTATTTCCTCTGTGCTGGACCAGTTATGTAATCATCTGGCCAGAGTATGTACTTGAGAATTGTGTTAAGCTCTGTCTCCTTAAGAGATAGCTTATGGGTAATGTAGTTTAGCTGTTTAGTGAACCCTATATTCATCAAGTCAGTGGGAGGGGCCACTAAGTTCATCACAGGATATCCTGGCTATGTGCCAGCTTGTGAAAGAATGCTTTTGTGTAAAACCAGCATGGGGAAGCATGCAGGTACATCCTCTGTAACCAGGCTAGAGCTGATATGAAGGAATTACTGTTTTTACCTAAGTAAAATGGACAAATGTAACATCCGAAAGCATCTTCAGAATAGTAAGTTTGTATGTCACAAGGGAAGAATAAGCAACTATACAATTGCCAGTTTGCTATGTGGTTAGCAACGCTTTGCTCATCAGGCTACCACTTCAAAGCCGGTTCTTCTCCGAAGCCAGAACTTGCCCACCTCCTCGGGGCATGAAGGAAGGAAGAGGAATCCCTGGAATTGATTTCTGGAATTGCCATTGTTACGCAGTATGGTCACGTCATTGTAAGTCAAGGACTACTTGCAGTGAGTCCCTTGAATATGACCTGTTCAGTGTGAAATATATGATATTAAAATAGCAAGAGGAAAAACATGGGTTCTGCCCGAGGAAAGCCCTGTTCCTCTATGGTGGCAAAAGAGCCAGAGGGTGAAACGTTGCTGCCAGATTCCTCCTTACTTTCTGCTTATTTGGTGGCTGAGGCTTCTTCCATGTCTGGGCTCCCCTGCCCTATCTGGGCATCCCGAAGACAGCTGCCACCTTGTGCAGGATGTCTCAGCCAGGCCCTCTCCTGCCCATCTCCTGCTTTGATACTCACCCAGGTACACCTGGTGCAGCTTCAGCAGGTGCCCACAGAAGCACTTGGACTCATCACCCACCCGGAAACGATCCCAAAGGGATTCAGGAGAGCGCCAGCCGATGTAGAGACCTTCAGAGGAACAGAGGGGCCTGCTGGGTGGGTGGGCTTGCAGAAGGCTGTCTGCCCAGGGTTCTCCTCATCATCATCAGGAAGACCAGCTGCCCTGGCCGACTCCCCCCTGACCTGGCGCGCCCTTCTTGGCCGGCGGGCCCTTCTTCTTGGCTTTCCTCTGCTCACCCGGGCTCAACCCGGCCGGAGCGCAGGCTTGCTCCCCGCGGCCTTCCGCCTCTTCCAGCCGCGGCCGCAGCCCGTCGGAGGGCGCCTTTCGGGACAGCGGCGACGGCGAGAGCGAGAAGGAGGAGGGGGGGACTCCAGCGGCGCGGAGGACGGCTCGCTCAGGCTCGCGCCCTGCGGCTCCGGCCACTCGGACGAGGAGGGCAGGGAGGGGTCCGGGAGCTCCCCCTTCTCCTGCCAGGAGGTCGAGCACGGCAAGACTGTCCTCATCACTCCCCAGGGAGGTGGGGGCGGGCAGGATCAGCTCTTCCTCCACCTCGTGAGCCGTGGGCGCTTCCTCCTCCTCCTCCTCCCCCTCCTCCTCCCAGGACTGAGGCGACACCGCCGGAGGCAGCGAGGCCGACGCCACCGTGGGTTCCGCTTCCATGCTGGCTCTGCTGGATGCAAGCAGGAGAGGCGACCAGGCGGGCCGCGTGGGCCGGGGAAGGGCGCGGGGAGGGCTCGGTGGAAGGGAGCCGGGCAGAGGCCGAGACGGCTCACGCGCGCCTGGCCAAGGATCCGTCTGGGGGCTCTACCTCCTTCTGCCGCTGGGTTGCGCGCCTTGTGGTGCTAACGCCAGAGCCGCCTTGCCCGAAACTACCGCCGGCCCATGGAGCCCCGAGCCCCGGGAGGCCTGGCGATCTGCCGGCCGGCGGAGCAATTGAACTTTCCCGGCACCCAGATGCGGAGGAGAGGGCAGGGCGAATTAGCGGGCCGGGAGGGGCGCAGGGGGGACAGGGGCAGCCGGGGGTGGAGTTTGAGCAGGCGTCTCACCCCCGCCCCCCGCAGCTCCTCTACGTTCCTGGGATTCCCCGTCGGGTGGAAGAGAGGCGGCGGCCTGGAGGCCTGGATTCCCCGGCGGGGGGAGGAAACCTTTCCAGGGCAACAGAAGCCTTGTTTTATTGGCACAGCAGCCGCCAACTGGGTTCCGGCGTTACTGCTCCGCTCCTCCCGCCTCTCTTCCGGCCGCCGGAACCCGGGATCTCCGCCTGGCCCCTTCCGACCAGCCCCTGCTGGGGCACAGACGGCACCCACAGGAATGAGGAGGCTCGCGAGGACCAGCCCTGCCCCGCGCCCCACAGCAGCTCTGTGAAGCTTTGGGGAAAGGAGTCAGCCTGGGGAGGGCAGCAGAGACCGCCCTGAGAAGGTCCAGAGGGAGCTCCGAGGTGCTGAACTCGGCATAGGATTCTCGGTTAAGTCCAGGATCGCATTTCCTCTTGCTCTTTTCTCCACCAAATGAAGTTGTCAGAAAGAGAGGACTAGGATAATTACCCCCCCCCCTTATCATTCATTTCCTCTTGCTCTTTCTTGCGTTAAATGAAGTTGTCAGCAAGGGAGAACCAGGATGCCCTGATAATTGCCCCCTCCCCTTATCACTCTTGCAGACCTCCCTGATAACCTCTCTGCTCATCTGATGCAGAAAGACCTGGCCTATATCTTCTGCCTGCCCAGATGGTCCATAGTAACTTCCTTCGGCAGGATCCCGTATCAGTTTTCTATCTATACTACCTGCCATCCTGCATTCATGCCTTTGATTCTTGTTTCTACACAAATGTTGGACTTTACATTTATCCCTGTTGAAATTAATCATTCTGATTTTTGCCCATTATTCCAGTTTTTAAAGATCCTTTGAAATCTTCATTTTGCCCTCTGAAGTATTTTATATCCCCCCATTTGGTATCATGTCCAAAACTAATTACGTTTTCTTACTCCTAACCTAATTATAAATATGTTAAAAAGCACAAGCCCCGCAATTCCTCACTTCCTTTCAATCAGATCTGGAGCCTTTAATAAGCCCTTGTTGGATTTGAACTCTTCACCGGCTCTATCCATGTAATGGTAGTTAGTGTACGCCAGCCACAGGTTGCCTTCTTCTTCTTCACCAGAATTTCATTGATTTGCTGAAGTCAAATTACATAATGTCCACTGCATTCCCATTATCAAGTAAATCAGAGAGTGTGTCAAAAAATATCAGGTTGGTTTGGGGTCACCCCAAACCCTTAATGGTCCTGCTAAGCACTAAAATATGATGGGTCTGAGATGGCCAAAGGAGCTCTTTTGAGACTCCTGACATCCTGCCTTGAAGACTTCAACTCACCCATGCTCTCTCTGTCTCTGTCTCCATCTCTCCCTCCCTGTCTCCCCCCCCCCTTCTCTCCTGGTCCCTGCTGGTGATTCTGCCCAGCTCCATCTGGACTCTGGGGGGGGGAGGAGAAGACGCAGAGAAGTAGCAGCTCTGCTCTTTGCCTGGCTCAGCCGCTCAGCCTGGGGCCCTGACAGGTTAGGGTACCCTGAGTGTGTCTTGCCCCCAGGCTGTCCATCACCTTGGTTCTTAACTTTTAATCTCTTTATTCTAGTTTCTATTCTTTTTAGCACTTTTTAACATTTATTACATTGTAAGCCACCCAGAGTTGCTGTATTAGTGAGATGGGTGACATAAAAAGTTATTAAAATAAAATAAGCTCTCTACTTCTGGGTTGTTGTTGTTTTGACATGCTGAGGTGGAGCTTTTTGTCTCTGGACCTTTAAGCAAAAATGCCATGTTACTTTTTCTTGTTCCTCTAACTGCTCCACTTGCAAAGGTCTTGATTGCAATTCCAGGTGTTATTAGTGAACCGTTTGTGGCCAACCTCTTTGGCTTCTTCAGGTAAGTATCCAAATAGGTTCTAGCTAAGTGCTGGTTCTAAGGATGACTCTGTCAAGCAAAGCTTGGGCCAAGTGATTAGGATGGACGAGGTCTGGGTGAAGCTCATTCATGGCTCCTTTGCAAAAACCCTTTAATGACTTCTTAATAAAATTGTTGGTCAGATCCTCAGTGAATTAGCTGCAGGTGCACAAAGTGTTCAAGGCCAAAGGCTGTGTAAAGTGCAGACCAATAGTAGATGAGTAGTAGAGACATGTAGAGATTCTGTACCCGAGAGTTAGCTTTGAGCCCCCCCCCCGATGGGGGTCCCACCCAGCCTTTCCTGGAAACCTGCAGACTGGCACCCAGGGAGCTTCTGAAAGACCAGGGAGGCCGAGGCTGCTCAGGCAAGCATTTTATTGCAGAAGAGCGTCTCCTGGGAGAGATAGGAAGGGTCACCCCCCCATTTCTCCCCCAAGGCAGATACCGGGAAGCCTTGCTCTCTTCACCCTCTCACTTGCTGCGGTAGAAAGTGCTGGCAGCAAAGCTACAAGGAAGCAGGAGGGAGGGAAATGTCAAAATTCATATTGGCATTTATTTATTTATGATTGGTGTCCCCCCCCCAGGCTGAACATTCCACCCCACCCCATTCCCTCCTCCCACCACTCACGTGAGAATGAAAAGGGGGGGCAAAGGAAATGGATGCTGCTGGTTCTCAGGGGCGGTCAGGGCCAGGTAAGTACCCAGCCATGCATTGCAGGCCACCTCTGATGAGGGGAAGGACACTGATCCAGAGCAGGCTGGGCTAAGTCTCCAGGGTCTTTGGGTCTTTGGGGGCCTCCCTTGAAGCAGCTCCGTCCAGGTGTCCGAGAAGGTGGCCTCTTTGGAGGGGAGCAGCAGAGCTGCAGGCCTTGCGCTCAGGGAAGGCACCCGGGTGGCCTCTTTGCCCCATACAAATATGGGGGTTGTGCTGGGCTACTGCTCTTTAATTTGAGTAGAGCAATTAATGCCAACTCTCCAAGTGTTGCCTGCTGTGGGCCCACCAGACTGTGGCGCCAGGCAAACCACACTTGTCAGTGAGAAGGACCTGGGGAAGCTCCTCCAAAGCTTTGCTCTGTTTCTTTGTGGGGGAAGTGGCAGAAGTGGAGTCTCCTAGACTCAAAATGCCAGCCTCTCTCACAGGAGCTGCTCAGCCCTGGGTGAGGAAACGTCCCCGAGAGGCAAACCATTGGGTCGTCCTGGTCGTCCTTTCAAGAGCCACTTTGGGGGGGGGGGAAGAGAGAGAAAAAGAGAGGTGCCCAGGGCCCTTCCAGTTAGGGGGCACAGCAGTTCAGTCCCTGCCTTTCCTTACAGGATCGCGTTCCAATCCTCTGCTACGGATCCAACCTTCACACGCAGCAGCGAGGTTGTCTTCAGCTGCTCCTCTCCGTCCCTGCCCACCAGACACTGGCCCACAAAGATGGTGATGGATTCTGAGGGAGGAATCGGTCAGAGACTCACTGGCAGGTCAAAACTGTTGTACCAATTGTGGGGGATATATATCCCATAAGGACCCCCGCTCACCGATGCTACCTTTAGGTTGGGCTTGAAAAACTTTGGGCTGCTCCAGCTGATGGGGTGGGGGAGGGGAAATAATCTGCAAGATGTAGATCTAAGGAAGGGGCGATCCACAAGATTCCCTCCTCCCGTTCTATTTGCTTCCACACCAAATAGTGAGTGGCTCTACCAGAGAAGCTCCCGTTGATGGTGAAGAAAAAGACAGGCTGTGGCCCCTGGAACTGGGTGCCCTGCAGCGGGGATGGAGAGTCGGAATCGTCGGAGGGCGAGACTGCCTGTTGGTAGACGCCGCTGAACACCCCCGTGCTACTGACGCTGTTGATCTCTATGGTGGAGTTGAGGTCATCCTTCCAGCTGCCGCTCAGGGAGCACTAAAGGAGAGCGGGAGAGGGGAGGAAAGCGGCTCACGGCGCTAGCCAAGCCCAGCTATCCAACAGGTAGAGACTCTGCCTCCATTTTCTCCGTGGAATCTGAAAACACCCGCTACTCCCACTTGCCCGATCCCCGGGCTGCCCACGCCGCGTCGGGCTGAGAATAGCGGCCATCCCAAAATCCGTAGGTCGAGGCGCCTGCCAGACCGCGTCCGGGACGGCACCCCGCGGGTGGATCGCTCTGCCAGCAGCGCAGCGAGCGAGAGCAGCAGCCCCGCCGGCAGGCTGCCGAAGCCGCGGCCGAGCACGGAGGAGGACACGCTCGGCCGACTGTCCGTCGGAGATCGAGGGCCTCTTAGCGCGACGGCATCGGGTGCGATCAACCCCGAGGAAGCGGCACCCTCTGCGCAGCCCGCCGGCTCCCACCAGCTGCCCCTGCCGCCCACCCGAGCAGAGGCTGATGTGTGTGTGTGGGGGGGGGCTTTCCACACGGGCGGCTGGGACCCTCCGCCTCCCACCCCGCATCTGACCTTGGCGGCTGGCTCCGAGTTTTGGGGTTCGGCAAAGGTTCCGGGAAAGCCGAGCAGGAAAGCGAGGAGACCCAGAGCTGCCAGGCCAATCGCCATGGTGGTCTCCAGGAATCTAGACGTGCCAGCCCCAGGCGGGACGCCCCTTATAAAGCCCCGCTCGCACCCGCTCTCCCCCCCTTTCAGCTGCCGCCTCCCTCCACCACCCCCAGCGGCTGGGAGGGGCGGGATCCCCGTCCGAGGGGCGGAGGCTTCTGCGAAATCGCTGGTCCTGCTGCGAGCGCTGAGCAGCACTTGGGCAGGAAGAGGGGCGGGGGGGGCATTTCTTCTCGGGCACCCCACCGCCTCTGACCCAACACGGGCATTCTTACTCTCCTCCTCCTCCCCAATTAGCTTAAATCCCGGGCTTTCTCCTCAGCTCCTCAGCCCGGCAAAACCTTATCAGCTTGTCCTTGGGTTCCCACAGCAGCCTTGTTATTATGGCTAGCTGAGCTTACATGCCCCCTCCCCCCATGCACCTGATTTCTAATCCTAAGAAAAAGCATATTAAAGGAATAGAGAAAATGGCTGCATTTTCATCAGTTCTCAGAGCGAGAACATCCAATGTTAGCAGCCTTGACATCCGCGCCCCCCCCTTAAAAAAAGACAAATCCTTCAATTCAAACAAAATCATAGGTTAGGGGTCGCCCCTTGGTTTGTTAGGGTGTTTCTCATAGAATTTATTAATGAGCCTGTCGGCTTTTACATCACTAGATTTTACCCAAGTGGCTTCAGTCAAAGGGTGTCCTTTCCTCTGCACTAAGTACTGTAACTTTCCCTTAAAAAGTCTAGAATCAAGAATAGGCTTCCCTTCATAATGAGTCTGCCCGGCTGGCTACCAGGAGAGGCCCAGGTGCCTTCTTAGGGGGAGGTCCTAAGGTGGAGCCCCGAGACAGGCTCAGTAGTTAGCTAGAAACTATTTCCACACTTACCTGAAGAAGCCAAAGAGGTTGGCCACAAACGGTTCAGTTATAACAACTGGATTTGCAATCAAGAATTTTGCAAGTGGGGCAGTTAGAGGAACAAGAAAAAGTAACGTGGCATTTTGCTTAAAGGTCCAGAGGCAAAAAGCTCCACCTTAGCATGTCAAAAAACAACCCCAGAAGTGGAGAGCGTATTTTATTATAATAACTTTTTATGTCACCCATCTCACTAATACAGCAACTCTGGTTGGCTTACATTGTAATAAAAATTAAAAAGTGCTAAAAAGAAATAAAACTAGAATAAAGAGATTAAAAGTGAAGAACCCAGGTGATGGAAATTCTGGGGCTAAGAATCTTGTCTACCCTGTAAGACGCCCCCAAGGTACCCTACCATGTTAGGGACCCAGGCTGAGCGGCAGAGTTAGGTTTTCAGGCTCTTCCAGAAGGCCAGGATTGTGTCTTTGTGTGTGTGTGTGTGTGGGGAAATCTCACCTCTGGTGGTAGAATATTATTGGGCGGGCAGCAGAAAAGGCTCTTCTCCTGGAGCCCAGCAGCAGAAATTCTTTGGCCAGTGGGATCCAAATTAGGCTGCTTCCACTGGAAGGAGAGGGGCCAATTAGTCCCATTGGGGTGAGGCAGTTCCTCAGATACCCCAGAACTGAATCCACCTCCCTCTCTTCATTTTCCTGAAAGGGAAGAAAGTCATTAGGCCTGAGACCCTTCCTCAAATTTCATTTCTACTTTGGACACAGTTTTTTTCATCTGATCCTCATTTAGGTTGAGGCTCCTCCTCCTGTTTCCTCTTGTAGCCCATTTTGTCACCAAGGAGGTGCACCAGCAAATGGGTAATCTGATGCACAACTGGAAGAGATGCTCACAAGAGAAGATAAAAGCAAAGGAAGGGGGGGGGGTTTGGCTGGATCAGTGGTCCAAGGAAGGAGTGGATCTGCTGCCAGGAGGACCTGGTTGCAGATGAACAAGGAAGAGGCAAAGAGCAGAGCTGCTCCTTCCCTGGGTCTTCTCCCCCAAGACTCCAGATGGAGCTGGGCAGAATCACCAGCAGGAACCAGGAGACAAGAGAGGGAGGGAGAGAGAGGCAGAGAGAGAGAGGCAGAGAGAGAGAGGGAGGGAGAGAGTGAGAGAGACAGAGAGAACATGGGTGAGTTGAACTCTCTAAGCCAGGTTGTCCAGGAGTCTCAAAGGAGCTCCTGGGGGCATCTCAGACCCATCATATTTTAGTGCTTAGTAGGGGCATCAAGGGTTTGGGGGTGACGCCAAATCAACCTGATATTTTTTGATACACTGTCTGATTTAGTTGATTATGGGAATTGGTTTTCTATACTACCTGCCATCCTGCATTAATGCCTTTGATTCTTCTTTCTACACAAATGTTGGACTTTGCATTTATCCCTGTTGACATTAATCATTCTGATTTTTGTCCATTATTCCAGCTTTTAAAGATCCTTTGAAATCTTCATTCTGCCCTCTGAAGTATTTTACAACCCCCCATTTTGTAATTTCCAAAACTGATTACAATTTTTTAACTCCAAAACTAACTTAATTATTACTATTATTATTATTTATTGAATTTATATACCGCCCTATCTCCCTTACGGGACTCAGGGCGGTGAACAGGCGATAATAAAAACCACGATAAATATACGCAAGTTTCTGTTCTAAAATCAAATTAAATAACAGGCCTGCTCTAAAAATACCCCGTACAAAACCCCCACTAAAACATAATCAAACTACGCCAGGCCGGCCGCACGGAATAGATAGGCCTTCAGGGCTCGGCGAAAAATTAGTTATTAATTATAATTTATTAATTGTAAATATGTCAAACAGCACAAGCCCTGCAATTCATCACTTCCTGTCAATCAGATCTGGAGTCTTTAATAAGCCCTGGTTGGATTTGAACTCTCCACCGGCTCTATCCATTTAATGGTAGTGTATGCCAGCCACAGGTTGCCTTCTTCTTCTTCTTCACCAGGATTTCATTGATATTTCTCAATTGTTTTGCTGAAGTCAAGGTACATAATGTCCACTGCATTCCCATAATCAACTAAATCAGACAGTGTGTCAAAAAATATCAGATTGATTTGGGGTCACCCCAAACCCTTGATGGTCCTGCTAAGCACTAAAATATGATGGGTCTGAGATGGCCAAAGGAGCTCTTTTGAGACTCCTGACATCCTGCCTTGAAGACTTCAACTCACCCATGCTCTCTCTGTCTCTCTCTCCATCTCTCCCTCCCTGTCTCCCCCCCCTTCTCTCCTGGTCCCTGCTGGTGATTCTGCCCAGCTCCATCTGGACTCTGGGGGGGGGAGGAGAAGACGCAGAGAAGTAGCAGCTCTGCTCTTTGCCTGGCTCAGCTGCTCAGCCTGGGGCCCTGACAGGATAGGGTACCCTGAGTGTGTCTTGCCCCCAGGCTGTCCATCACCTTGGTTCTTAACTTTTAATCTCTTTATTCTAGTTTCTATTCTTTTTAGCACTTTTTAACATTTATTACATTGTAAGCCACCCAGAGTTGCTGTATTAGTGAGATGGGTGACATAAAAAGTTATTAAAATAAAACATGCTCTCTACTTCTGGGGGTGTTTTTTGACATGCTAAGGTGCAGTTTTTTGCTTCTGGACCTTTAAGCCAAAATGCCAAGTTACTTTTTCTTGTTCCTCTAACTGCTCCACTTGCAAAATTCTTGATTGCAAATCCAATTGTTATAACTGAACCGTTTCTATCCAACCTCTTTGGCTTCTTCAGGTAAGTATTGAAATAGGTGCTAGCTAACTGTTGGGTCCAACAATGACTCTTATCAAGCAAAGCTGCCTCCTCACAACCTGCCTGTGTCTCTGTCTCTGTCTCTGTCTCTCTCTCTCTCTCTCTCTCTCTCTCTGTCTCTCTCTCTCTCTGTGTCTCTCCCTTCCTCCCTCTTGTCTCCTGGTCCCTGCTGGTGATTCTGTCCAGCTCCATGTGGACTCTTGGGGGAGAAGACCCAGGGATGGAGCAGCTCTGCTCTTTGCCTCATCCTTGTTCATCTCCAACCAGGGAAGAGATCCACTCCTTCCTTTCCCTTCCTTGGACCACTGATCCAGCAACCCCCCCCCCTTTCCTTTGCTTTTATCTTCTCTTGTGAGCATCTCTTCCAGTTGTGCCTCAGATTACCCATTTGCTGGTGCACCTCCCTGGTGACAGAATGGGCTACAAGAGGAAACAGGAGAAAGAGACTCAAACTAAATGACGATCAGATGAAAAATAAAATATGTCCAAGGCAGAAAGGAAATTTGAGGAAGGGTCTCAGACCTAAGGACTTTCTTCCCTTTCAGGAAGATGAAGAGAGGGAGGTGGATTCAGCCTTGCAAGGTTCTGTTACTGTAACTTTGTAATAAAAGTAATGTAAGAATTTCTTGGTATTTCATCCTGATCTGCTAAAGACACATGCAGATGGGTAACATCCCATAACAAGCATGGGGGGGGGTTGCACTTAGTGAGGTTCTGGGGTATCTGAGGAACTGTCTCACCCCAATGGGACTAGCTGGTGCCTCTCCTTCCAGTGGAAGCAGCCTAATTTGGATCCCACTGGCCAAAGAATTTCTGCTGCTGGGCTCCAGGAGAATGCCTTTTCTGCTGTGCCCCCCCCAAGAATATTCTACTACCAGAGGTGAGATTCCCACAAACACACAAACACAAACACAATCCTGGCCTTCTGGAAGAGCCTGAAAACCTGGCTTAGCCACTCAGCCTGGGATCCTGATAGGGTAGGGTACCCTGGGGGTGTCTCATGGGGTAGACAAGATTCTTACCCCCAGAATGTCCAACACCTTGGTACTTAACTTTCAATCTCTTTATTCCAGTTTCATTTCTTTTTAGCACTTTTTAATTTTTATTACAATGTAAGCCAACCAGAGTTGCTGTATTAGTGAGATGGGTGACATAAAAAGTTATTAAAATAAAATACGCTCTCGTTTCTGGGGTTGTTTTTTTGACATGCTAAGGTGGAACTTTTTGCCTCTGGACCTTTAAGCAAAGATGCCATGTTACTTTTTCTTGTTCCTCTAACTGCTCCACTTGCAAAATTCTTGATTTCAAATCCAGTTGTTATTAGTGAACCGTTTGTGGTCAACCTCTTTGGCTTCTTCAGATAAGTGTCGAAATAGGTTCCAGCTAACTGCTGGTTCTAACAATGACTCTATCCAGCTAAGCTTGGGCCAAGTGATTAGGATGGAGCAGCTCTGGGTGAAGTTAATTCATGGCTCCTTTGCAAAACCCTTTGAGGACTTCCTAATAAAATAATTGGTCAGATCCTCAGTGAATTAGCTGCAGGTTCCCAAAGTCTTCAAGGCCAAAGGCTGTGTAAAGTGCAGAGCAGTAGTAGAGACAAGTAGAAACTCTGTACCCCAGAGTTAGCTTTGAGCCCCCCTCCAGGTGGGGATCCTTCCCAGCCTCTCCTGGAAACCTGCAGACTGGCACCCAGGGAGTTTCTGAAAGACCAGGGAAGCTGAGGCTGCTCAGGCAAACATTTTATTGCAGAAGAGCTTCTGATGGAAGAGATAGGAAGGGTCGCCCTCCATGCCCCCCCCCAGGAAGAAACCATGGAAGCCTTGCTCTCTTCAGCTTTACTCAGTGCATTAGAAGGTGTCCATGCGAACTCTACAATGAAGCAGGAGGGAGGGAAATGTCAAAATTCATGGTGGCGTGATTGGTGTGTTACCCCCCCAGGCAAGAGCATCCCACCCTCCATCCCATTCCATGTGACAATGAAAGGGGGGGCAAAGGAAATGGATGCTGCTGGTTCTCAGGGGCGGTCAGGGCCAGGTAAGTCCCCAGCCATGCATTGCAGGCCACCTCTGATGAGGGGAAGGACACTGACCCAGAGCAGGCTGGGCGAAGTCTCCTGGGTCTTTGGGTCTTTGGGGGCCTCCCTTGAAGCAGCTCCGTCCAGGTGTCCAAGAAGGTGGCCTCTTTGGAGGGGAGCAGCAGAGCTGCAGGCCTTGCGCTCAGGGAAGGCACCCAGGTGGCCTCTTAGCCCCATAGAAATATGGGGACTGTGCTGGGCTACTGCTCTCCGATTTGAGTAGAGCAATTAATGCCAACTCTCCAAGTGTTGCCTGCTGTGGGCCCACCAGACTGTGGTGCCAGGCAAACCACACTTGTCAGTGAGAAGGACCTGGGGAAGCTCCTCCAAAGCTTTGCTGTGTTTCTTTGTGGGGGGAGTGGCAGAAGTGGAGTCTCCTAGACTCAAAATGCCAGCCTCTCTCACAGGAGCTGCTCAGCCCTGGGTGAGGAAACGTCCCCGAGAGAGGCAAACCTTTGGGGGATCCTATCAAGAGCCACTTTGGCAGGGGGGGGGAGAGAGAGAAAAAGAGAAGTGTCCAGGGCCCTTCCAGTTAGGGGGCACAGCAGTTCAGCCCCTGCTTTTCCTTACTGGGTCGCCCCCCCCAATCCTCTGCTGCCGATCCCACCTCCCCACACAGCAGCCAGGTTGCCTCCAGCTGCTGCTTTCCCTTCTCCTCCACCAGAGACTGGCCCACAAAGACAGGGGTGGATCCTGAGGGAGGAGAGTCACTGGCAGGTCAAAGTTCTTGTACCAATTTGGGGGGGGGGATTTCCCATAAAGACCCCCGCTACCTTTACGTGGGAAAGTTTTATGGGCTCCAAAATATTTGGGCAGGTCCAGCTGATGCGAGGTGGGTGAGTGGGAGGGGGAACAATCAGTGAAAGAATCTGTAAGAGGCAGACCTCAGGAAGGGGAGATAGCAAATACTGTATATTCTTGCTTTGACAATATGCAGAACTGTCTGGTATTTTTAGGGTTAATGCAGAGCAGAAGAGGGTGGGGGGGGGGAAAGCCCGGGAAAGAAAGAGGAAGAAAACCTTTGACCTTCACATTAGCTGGATAACGTGATATATGACAGCTAATTTAGGGAGGGAACATGCTGATAATTTAACTGCTCAGAGGAAATGAATTTCAGTTCTTAGCATAAATTTCAAGTTGTGCCTGTGCCGACATTTTGTAACAATAAATTACTTTTAGGAAATTCAATGCCTGGAAGTTCTTTGAAGTGTTTCATTAGCCGGAACCATAACACTCCATTAGATTCCCTCCCTCCTGTTCCATTTGCTTCCACACCAAATAGTGAGGGGCTCCACCAGAGAAGCTCCAGTTGAGGGTGAAGCCAAAGTTGGGTTGGTGCCCCTTTGTGCTGGACGCCCTGCAGCGGGGGTGGCCGGATGGGCACGTCGGAGGCCGAGACTGCCGTTTGGTAGAGGCCGCTGAACACCCCCGTGTCACTGACGCTGTTGATCTCCATGGTGGAGGCGAGGTCATTCTTCCAGGTGCCGGTCAGGGAGCACCAAAGGAGAGCGGGAGGGGGGAGGAAAGCGGTTCATGGCGCTGGCCAAGCCCAGCTGTCCAACAGGTAGAGGCTCTGTCTCCCTATTGCCTGCGGTTAGACGCGGTGCGGCGCCCGAGAAGTGAACACGTGAAGGCAGCCGGATTCAGCGGTTCCATTCGGAGCGAGCAAAGAAGGGAATGCAAAACGCCCCCCTGAAGAAAGTTGGCCTAGGAAGCGGGAGGTGAGAAAGCGGAGATATTCCCTCCCCATCAGGTGTGTCGGTTGAGGGTCTCAGCCTCCCCTCCTCTTAACGTCGGAATCCGCAGCAGCCTCGCTTTAAAGGCTTTTTCCCTTTCGTTTGACCCCCTTCTCTCGCTTGCTCAAAACGTCTCAGGAATCGGCTTCTCTACGTCTTGCAGGCCTCTCTGATAGCCTCTCTGCTCATCTGATGCAGAACGACCTGGCCTGTATCTTCTGCCTGCCCAGATGGTCCATAGTAAACCTCCTTCGGCCGGATCCCGTATCAGTTTTCTATCTATACTACCTGCCATCCTGCATTCATGCCTTTGATTCTTGTTTCTATACAAATATTGGACTTTGCATTTATCCCTGTTGAAATTAATCATTCTGATTTTTGCCCATTATTCCAGCTTTTAAAGATCCTTTGAAATCTTCATTCTGCCCTCTGAAGTATTTTATATCCCCCCATTTGGTATCATGTCCAAAACTGATTACAATGTTTTCTAACTCCTAACCTAATTATAAATACGTCAAACAGCACAAGGCGTAAAATGGAGCCCTGGAATTCCTCACTTCCTCTCAATCAGATCTGGAGCATTTAATAAGCCCTTGTTGAGTTTGATCTCTCCACCATGTGATGGTAGTGTAGGCCAGCCATAGGTTGCCTTCTTCTTCTTCTTCTTCACCAGGATTTCATTGATATTTGTCAAATGTTTTGCTGGTCAAATTACATAATGTCCGCTGCATTCCCATAATCAACTAAATCAGAGAGTGTGTAAAAAAATATCAGGTTGATTTGGGGTCACCCCAAACCCTTGATGCTCCTGCTAAGCACTAAAATATGATGGGTCTGAGATGGCCCCAGGAGCTCCTTTGAGACTCCTGAACATCCTGGCTTGGAGACTTCAACTCACACATGCTCTCTCTCTCTCTCTCTCTCTCTCTCTCTCTCTCTCTCTCTCTCTCTCTCTCTCTCTCTCTCTCTCTCTCTCTCTCTGTGTGTGTGTGTGTGTGTGTGTTGGTGTGTGTGTGTGTGTGTGTGTGTGTTCATAAGGCAACATCATTGGGATCCATCCACATCCATGTGGTTTTTTTCATATATAGTACCTGCCATCCTGCAGGTACTATATATGCTCTCTCTGTCTCTGTCTTTCTGTCTCTGTCTGTCTCCCTGTGTCTGTGTCTATGTGTGTCTCTCTGTCTCTCTCTCTGCCTCTCTCTCCCTCCCTCTCTTGTCTCCTGGTCCCTGCTGGTGATTCTTCCCAGCTCCATCTGGAGTCTTGGGGGAGAAGACCCAGGGAAGCAGCAGCTCTGCTCTTTGCCTCTTCCTTGTTCATCTCCAACCAGCAGATCCACTCCTTCCTTGGACCACTGATCCAGCCAACCTCCCCCTTTTCCTTTGCTTTTATCTTCTCTTGTGAGCATCTCTTCCAGTTGTGCCTCAGATTACCCATTTGCTGGTGCACCTCCGTGGTGACAGAATTGGCTACAAGAGGAAACAGAGGAAGAGCCTCAACATGACAGGGTAGGGTAGGGTACCCTGGGGGTACCCTGGGGAGTGTCTCATGGGGTGCAGGTGCAGTATGTGCAGAACTGCCTCACCCCAATAGGAACAGTGGAAGCAGCCTAATTTGGATCCCATTGGCCAAAGAATTTCTGCTGCTGGCCTCCAGGAGAAGAGCATTTTCTGCTGTGCCCCCCCCCGAATATTCTACCATCGGAGGTGAGATTTTCCCCTTCCCTCAGACACACAAGAACACAATCCTGGCCTTCTGGAAGAGCCTGAAAACCTGGCTCTGCCGCTCAGCCTGGGTCCCTAACAGGGTAGGGTAGCCTGGGGGTGTCTCACAGGGTAGACAAGATTCTTAGCCCCAGAATGTCCATCACCTGGGTTCTTAACTTTTAATCTCTTTATTCTGGTTTCATTTCTTTTTAGCACTTTTAAACTTTTATTACAATGTAAGCCAACCAGAGTTGCTATATTAGTGAGATGGGTGGCATAAAAACTTATCAAAATAAAATAAGGTCTGAATTCTGGGGCTGTTTTTTGACATGCTAAGGTGGAGCTTTTTGCCTCTGGACCTTTAAGCAAAATGCCACGTTACTTTTTCTGTTCCTCTAATGGCCCCACTTGCAAAATTGTTATAACTGAACCGTTTGTGGCCAACCTCTTTGGCTTCTTCAGGTAAGTGTGGAAATAGTTTCTAGCTAACTGCTGAGCCTGTCTCGGGGCTCCACCTTACGGCCTCCCCCTAAGAAGGCACCTGGGCCTCTCCTGGTAGCCAGCCGGGCAGACTCATTATGAAGGGAAGCCTATTCTTGATTCTTGACTTTTTAAGGGAAAGTTACAGTACTTAGTGCAGAGGAAAGGATACCCTTTGATTGAAGCCACTTGGGTAAAATCTAGTGATGTAAAAGCCGACAGGCTCATTAATAAATTCTATGAGAAACACCATAACAAACCAAGGGGTGACCCCTAACCTATGATTTTGTTTGAATTGAAGGATCTGTCCTTCTTGTAAGCCCCCCACCACCACCGGATGTCAACGCTGCTGACATTGTATTCTCCCGCTCTGACAACTGATGAAAACGCAGCCATTTTCTCCATTCCTTTAATAGGCTTTTCTTACCTTTAGGAATCAGGTGCATGGGGGGAGGGGGGATGTAAGCTCAGCTAGCCATAATAACAAGGCTGCTGTGGGAACCCAAGGAGAAGCTGATGAGGTTTTGCCGGGCTGAGGAGCTGAGGAGAAAGCCCGGGCTTTAAGCTAATTGGGGAAGCTAATTGAGGAGGAGGAGGAGGAGGAGCAGGAGGTGAGTAAGAATGCCCGTGTTGGGTCAGAGGCGGTGGGGGTCCCGAGAAGAAATGCCCCCCCGCCCCTCTTCCTGCCCAAGTGCTGCTCAGCGCTCGCAGCAGGACCAGCGATTTCGCAGAAGCCTCCGCCCCTCGGACGGGGATCCCGCCCCTCCCAGCCGCTGGGGGTGGTGGAGGGAGGCGGCAGCTGAAAGGGGAGGGAGCGGGTGCGAGCGGGGCTTTATAAGGGGCGTCCCGCCTGGGGCTGGCACGTCTAGATTCCTGGAGGCCACCATGGCGATTGGCCTGGCAGCTCTGGGGCTCCTCGCTTTCCTGCTCTGCTGTTCGGGAACCTTTGCCGAACCCCAAAACTCGGAGGTCAGATGCGGGGTGGGAGGCGGAGGGTCCCAGCCTCCCGTGTGGAAAGCCCCCCCCACACACACACCAGCCTCTGCTCGGGTGGGCGGCAGGAGCAGCTGGTGGGAGCCGGCGGGCTGCGCAGAGGGTGCCGCTTCCTCGGGGTTGATCGCACCGGTGCCGTCGCGCTGAGCGCCAGAGGCCCTGGGTCCCCGACGGCCGACCGGTCAAGCGTTTCCTCCTCCGTGCTCGGCCGCGACTTCGGCAGCCTGCCGGCGGGGCTGGTTCTCTCGCTCGCTGCGCAGATGGCAGAGCGATCCACCCGCGGGGTGCCGTCCCGGACGCGGTCTGGCAGGCGCCTCGACCGACAGACTTTGGGACGGGCCGCCTTTGCCAGCCCGACCCGGCGTGGGCATCCCCGGGGGTCGGGCACGTGTGAGCAACGGGTGTTTTCAGATCCCCCGGAGAGAATGGAGTGAGAGTCTCTACCTGTTGGACAGCTGGGCTTGGCTATTACCCTGACACGCTTTCCTCCCCCCTCCCGCTCTTTTTTAGTGCTCCCTGATCGGCATCTGGAAGAATGACCTCAACTCCACCATAGAGATCAACAGCGTCAGTGACACGGGGGTGTTCAATGGCACCTTCTCTCTCTATCCGACACCGCGCATCCGTCCATACCCGCTGCAGGGCAAGAAGTACCAGTGGCCCGAGCCACAGTGGCCCAACCCCACCTTTGGCTTCACCGTAGGCGACTTCCTCTTCTTTGGTAGAGCCTCTCAGTCTTTGTTGTGGAAGCAAATAGAACGGGAAGAAGGAATCAAGTGGATCGCCCCTTCCTGAGATCTGCCTCTTGCAGATTCTTTCACTGAATGTCCTCCCTCCTACCCACCCACCCCCCCCGCATCAGATGGAGATGCCCAAATATTTTGGAGCCTATAAAACATCCCCAATCTAAAAGTAGCATAGGTGAGGGGGGGTCTTCATGCGAACTATATCCCCCCCCCTAATTGGTACAACAACTTTGATCTGACAGGACCCATCTCAGTCTTTGTGGGCCAGTGTTTTGTGGACAAGAACGGAAAGGAGCAGCTGAGGACAAACTGGCTGCAGCGTGAGAAGGTTGGATCCGCAGCAGACGATTGGCAGGCGATCAGGTAAGGAAACGCAGGGGCTGAACTGCTGCACCCCCTAACTGGAAGGGCCCTGAGCACCTCTTCTTTTTCTCTCTCTTCCACCCCCCAAAGTGGCTCTTGCAAGGGTGCCCCAATGGTTTACCTCTCTCGGGGCAGCTCCTGCAGGAGAGGCTGGCATTTTGAGTCTAGGAGACTCTGTTTCTGCCACTTCCCCCACAAAGGAAGGCAGCAAAGCTTTTCATGAGGTTCCCCAGGTCCTTCTCACTGACAAGTGTGGTTTGGATGGCACCACAGTCCAGGTTTCCCACAGCTGGCAACACTTGGAGAGTTGGCACTAATTGCTCTACTCAAATCGGAGAGCACAGCACAGCCCCATATTTGTAGGGGGCAAAGAGGCCACCTGGCTGCCTTCCTGGAGCGCAAGGCTTGCAGCTCTGCTGCTCCCCTCCAAAGAGGCCATTTTTGCAGCCACCTGGATGGAGCTGCTTGACGGGAAAGCCCCCAAAGACCCAGGAGAATTCGCCCAGCCTTCTTTGGGTCTTGTCATTTCCCGGCCCTGGCCGCCTCTGAGAACCAGAAGCCTCCATTTCCTTTGCCCTCCCTTTTCATTCTCACCTGCGTGGATGGGAGGAGGGAATGGGGTGGGGAATGGGATGCTCAGCCTGGGGGGGGGAGAGACATCAATCATGCCAATATAAATTTTGACATTTCCCTCCCTCCTGTTTCACTCTAGGCTTGGCGGGAGCACCTTCTACCGCAGCAAGTGAGAGGGTGAAGAGAGCAAGGCTTCCCTGGTTTCTGCCTTGGGGGGGAAATGGGGGGGTGACCCTCCCAACCTCACCCATCAGATGCTCTTCTCCAATAAAATGTTTGCCTGAGCAGCCTCGGCCTCCCTGGTCTTTCAGAAGCTCCCTGGGTGCCAGTCTGCAGGTTTCCAGGAGAGGCTGGGTAGGACCCCCATCTGGAGTATGGGCTCTGGGGTAAAGAGTTAGCTTTGTCTCTACTACTGCTCTACTACTGTTCTGCACTTTACTCAACCTTTGCCCTTGAAGACTTTGGGAACCTGCAGCCAATCCACTCAGGATCTGGCCTATTAATTTATTGGGAAATTATTAAAGGGTTTTGCAAAGGAGCCATCAATTAGCTTCACCCAGAGCTGGTCCATCCTGATCACTTGGCCCAAGCTTTGCTTGACAGAGTCATTGTTAGAACCAGCACTTAGCTAGCAACTATTAAGACACTTACCTGAAGAAGCCAAAGAGGTTGGCCACAAACGGTTCACTTATAACAACTGGATTTGCAATCAAGAATTTTGCAAGTGGAGCAGTTAGAGGAACAAGAAAAAGTAATGTGGCATTTTGTTTAAAGGTCCAGAGGCAAAAAGCTCCACCTTAGCATGTCAAAAAACAACCCCAGAAGTGGAGAGCGTATTTTATTTTAATAACTTTTTATGTCACCCATCTCACTAATACAGCAACTCTGGTTGGCTTACATTGTAATAAAAATTAAAAAGTTCTAAAAGAAATGAAATTAGAATAAAGAGATTAAAAGTTAAGAACCCAGATGATGGACATTCTGGGGATAGGAATCTTGTCTACCCCATGAGACACCCCCAGGGTACCCTACCCTGTCAGGACCCCAGGCTGAGCTGCTGAGCCAGGTTTTCAGGCTCTGCCAGAAGGCCAGGACTGTGTTTGTGTGTTTGTGTGTGTGTGTGTGTGTGGGGGGAAATCTCACCTCTGATGGTAGAATATTGTTGGGGGGGGGGCACAGCAGAAAAGGCTGTTCTCCTGGAGCCCAGCAGCAGAAATTCTTTGGCCAATGGGATCCAAATTAGGCTGTTTCCACTGAAGGAGAGGGGCCAATTAGTCCCATTGGGGAGAGGCAGTTCCTCAGATACCCCAGAACTTTACTAAGTGCATGCTTCTTATGGGATGTTACCCATCTGCATGTGTCTTCAGCAGATCAGGATGAAATACCAGGAAATTCTTACTCACTTTTATAACAAAGTAACAGGACCTTGCAAGGCTGAATCCACCTCCCTCCCTTCATCTTCCTGAAAGGGAAGAAAGTCCTTAGGTCTGAGACCCTTCTTCAAATTTCATTTCTGCCTTGGACACATTTTATTTTTCATCTGATCCTCATTTAGGTTGAGGCTCTTCCTCCTGTTTCCTCTTGTAGCCCATTCTGTCACCAGGAAGGTGCACCAGCAAATGGGTAATCTGAGGCACAACTGGAACAGATGCTCACATCTGTGGAAGATAAAAGCAAAGGAAAGGGGGGGGGTGTTGGCTGGATCAATGATCCAAGGAAGGGAAAGGAAAGGAAAGACTGGATCTGCTGCCAGGAGGATCTGGTTGGAGATGAACAAGGAAGAGGCAAAGAGCAGAGCTGCTGCTTCCCTGGGTCTTCTCCTCCCAAGAGTCCCGATGGAACTGGGCAGAATCACTCACAGGAATCAGGAGACAAGAGAGAGGGAGGGTGAGTGAGGGAGAGGGAGGGAGAGAGGGAGAGAGGGAGAGAGGGAGAGAGAGAGAGAGAGACAGACAGACAGACAGAGACAGAGAGAACATGGGTGAGTTGAAGTCTCCAAGGCAGGATGTCAGGAGTCTCAAAGGAGCTCCTGGGGGCATCTCAGACCCATCATATTTTAGTGCTTAGCAGGAGCATCAAGGGTTTGGGGTGACCCCAAATCAACCTGATATTTTTTTGACACACTGTCTGGTTTAGTTGATTATGGGAATGCAGTGGACATTATGTACTTTGACTTCAGCAAAACATTTGAGAAATATCAATGAAATCCTGGTGAAGAAGAAGAAGGAGGCAACCTGTGGCTGGCCTACACTACCATTACATGGATAGAGCCGGTGGAGAGATCAAATCCAACCAGGGCTTATTAAAGGCTTCAGATCTGATTGAAAGGAAGTGAGGAATTGCAGGGCTTGTGCTGTTTGACATATTTATAATTAGGTTAGGAGTTAGAAAACGTTGTAATCAGTTTTGGACATGATACTTTCTGCTTCAGATGAGCAGAGAGGCTATCAGAGAGGCCTGCAAGAGTGATAAGGGGGGGGGCAATTATTCGGGCATCCTGGTCCTCCCTTGCTGTCAACTTCATTTAGTGGAGAAAAGAGCAAGAGGAAACGCTATTCTGGACTTAGCCGAGAATCCCAGGCCGAGTTCAGCACCTCGGAGCTCCCTCTGGACCTTCTCAGGGCGGTCTCTGCTGCCCTCCCCAGGCTGTCCTCCTTTCCCCAAAGCTTCGCAGAGCTGCTGTGGGGCGCGGGGCAGGGCTGGTCCTCGCGAGCCTCCTCATTCCTGTGGGTGCCGTCTGTGCCCCAGCAGGGGCTGAATTCGGAAGGAGACAGGCGGGGACCCAGGGTTCCGGCGGCCGGAAGGGAGGCGGGAGGAGCGGAGCAGTAACGCCGGAACCCGGCTGGCGGCTGCTCTTCCAATAAAACAAGGCTTCTGTTGCCCTGGAAAGGTTTCCTCCCTCCGCCGGGGAATCCAGGCCTCCAGGCCGCCGCTGCTCTTCCACCCGACGGGAATCTCAGGAACGTAGAGGAGCTGTGGGGGGCGGGGGCGAGACGCCTGCTCAACCTCCACCCCCCCCGGCTGCCCCCTTTCCCCCCTGCGCCCCTCCCGGCCCGCTAATTCGCCCTGCCCTCTCCTCCGCATCTGGGTGCCGGAAAAGTCCAATTGCTCCGCCGGCCGACAGATCGCGAGGCCTCCCGTGGCTCGGGGCTCCATGGGCCGTCGGTTGAGGCGTTCGCACCACAAGGCGCGCCACCCAGCGGCAGAAGGAGGTAGAGTCCCCAGACGGAGGGGGTTCCCTCGACTCCCCCCCCCGTGGGAGAGCCCGGCTGCCCAGGGATCCTTGGCCAGGCGCGCGTGAGCCGTCTCGGCCTCTGCCCGGCTCCCTTCCACCGAGCCCTCCCCGCGCCCTTGCCCGGCCCACGCGGCCCGCCCGGTCGCCTCTCCTGCTTGCACCCAGCAGAGCCAGCATGGAAGCGGAACCCACGGAAGCGTCGGCCTCGCTGCCTCCGGCGGTGTCGCCTCAGTCCTGGGAGGAGGAGGAGGAGGAGGAGGAGGCGCCCAGGGCTGGCGAGGTGGCGGAAGAGCTGATCCTGCCCGCCCCCACCTCCCTGGGGAGTGACGAGGACAGTCTTGTCGTGCTGGACCTCCTGGGAGGGGAAGGGGGAGCTCCCGGACACCTCCCTGCGCTCCTCGTCCGAGTGGCCGGAGCCGCAGGGCGCCAGCCGTCCTCCGCGCCGCTTGAGTCCCCCCTCTCCTGAAAGGCGCCCTCCGGCCGGGTTGAGCCCAGGTGAGCAGAGGAAAGCCAAGAAGAAGGGCCCGCCGGCCAAGAAGGGCGCACCAGGTCAGGGGGAGTCGGCCAGGGCAGTGCCCCCCCCAGATGCAGCCGGGCCCAGGGCAAGGCCAGGGAGGGAGAGGAAAGAGTGCCGGAGCAGGGGCTCTTCCCTCTTCGCCCACTACGACGAAGGGAAGCCGAACTGGACTGGGCTTTGGCCGCCAACTAGCGGAGAAGCCACCATAAAGCGGGTGTTTTCTGTCCAGGGCCCCAGTCCAGCAGAGGAGAAAAGGGTGCCCCCCCACCCGGGGCAGGAATCTTCAGGGACAGGGAGGGGAGGGGGCCACCCCAGGGCAGAGACCAAAGCGGGGTAGCAGTTTGCACAGCCCCCCAGAAGCAGCTGCCAGGCAGCGAAAGGAGCAGAGGGAAGGCAGGGCTGGAGGGCAGCAGCGGGAGCCCAACATGGAAGGTGGCAGGCTTAAAGCAAAGCTGGGAGCCAGGCTGAGGCCGGCTGCTCTCCCTACAGGCTACGCGGTGAGGACCATCGTGCCAGCCGAGAAGGAGGAGCTGGAGTCGGTGGCCAAGGCCATGCACCGAGAGAAATTCGCCAAAAACACCAAGGAGCTCTTCCACCTGGAGAAGGAGGCGGCCCTCAAGTCCATCCAGACAGGTGGGTGGGAGCCTCCCTGCAGCGACCCATGGAGGGGAGGCCCCAGGAGCCACTGCAATGATGCCAGCCACAAGCCTCAGAGGGACCCTCTTCACAGAATTCTGGGCAGGTGGGCACAGCAACCAGGGGCTGCTTTCTGAGAAGCAGCTTGCATGCTCTGCTTCCTTCTGGTGATGATGATGATGATGAGGACGACACTGGGCAGAATCCAAGCTGTTTCCCAGTTTGGCATCTGGGATGCCCTCCTCTTCCCCCCAATAGAGAGGAATGAGTGTTGAGGCTGCTGGGTGGGATTTGAGCTTGCTGGGGCAGGGATTGGGGCCCTGATGGCCATCCAAACAGCCCCCCAGCCCTCTGCAAGCCCACCCACCCAGCAGGCCCCTCTCCTCCTCTGCAGGTGTCTACATCGGCTGGCGCTCTCCTGAATCCCTTTGGGATCGTTTCCGGGTGGGTGATGAGTCCAAGTGCTTCTGTGGGCACCTGCTGAAGCTGCACCAGGTGTACCTGGGTGAGTATCAAAGCAGGAGATGGGCAGGAGAGGGCCTGGCTGAGACATCCTGCACAAGGTGGCAGCTGTCTTCGGGATGCCCAGATAGGGCAGGGGAGCCCAGACATGGAAGAAGCCTCAGCCACCAAATAAGCAGAAAGTCAGGAGGAATCTGGCAGCAACGTTTCACCCTCTGGCTCTTTTGCCACCATAGATGAACAGAACCCACGTTTTTGCTCTTGCTATTTTAATATCATATATTTCACACTGAACAGGTCATATTCAAGGGACTCACTGCAAG